TTTTTCCTTGCTACTACTACTTTATAATTACATACTAATCAAAAATATTTTAAATGCGAAAATAATTCTGTCTGTCTGTCTGTTACCTTCTTACGCTTAATCCGTTGGACAAATTTAGATGAAAAGTACTTTTTCGATTCATGCTAAAGTATGATTAAATGCCTATATGGAATATGCACTTAATCATACTTTTACAAAAATAAAAACGATTTTTATATAACAATTTTACTATTCTTACATAGATAATATATGTACATCGAAATGTGATGGTTCCACGACCGCGGACACGCCGGCGTTACAGTTAACAATAGATTTCTTAGAAATTTAATTAATCTATAATATAAAAATGAATCGCTGAATGTGTTGGTAAGCGCAAATCTCGAGAGCAGCTGAACCGATTTCGCTAATTCTTTTTTTAGAATATTCCTTGAAGTACGAGGATGGTTCTTACAGAGAGAAAAGTTAAAAAAATTGCCTGAAAAAGTCTAAAAACAACATTTTTCTATACTCCCATACAAAAGATTCGTAATAATACTTAAAAGTCAATTTGAACTTTAATACCGTAACATAAAGTTTAAGTGTTAGTTCCGGGAAGGCAAAACATTGATGGCAATTGAGTGACGTTAGAATCGTATAAATATTAATGTCAATATTTGTCAATATTATTAACAAAAAAAAATTATATGGCTAACGCTGGCTAATAACTATTTATATCTATTTAAAACGTACCTAGCGACGAACTCGAGCGAAGCGAGGGTGAGCCGCTAGTTTAATATAAATATTTGAGTCCATTGAGTCATTAGAAGTATCTATTTAATCTAGGCATTTTGTTTCCTTATGATTCCTTTGGCTGGCCGAACTTAAACGACTATATCCTTATATGATTTCCTAATTCGCCTAGCTTTGGGCATCCAAATATACTCTATGCATACAAAGTGTTTTGTATGGCTCATACGGTAGTCAAACTTTTCTTTGTATGTTTTCTGTCCGGAAACATATTCCTATGTAAAATCAAGAAACTGTGCAGTGTGCTTGTAGATACGACCAGCATTATCAATAGATATAATAAAATTCTAACCGAGTCTAATCTGTACATTAAATAATATTTTTGGGAAAATTTAATTGAAATTGTCATTATTATCGATATAGAGGCCGAACCTATAGTTTTTAGAATTTTTGTCTATCTGTCTGTCTGTCAAGAAAAAACCACTGGGCAGATTTAATTTTAACATTATAACATTTATATGTAATTTGGTATGGTTATAGCTGGTTATCCGGGATACTTTTTACTGCGGGAAAATATCTCATCTCTGAGAAATCTATACTAAATGATAAAAAGTAGCTTCTCTATCCCTAGCTTGATTCCCCATACAAAAATTCATCCCCATTTTCGCCCCTTTAATCGATGACTTTCGGGTTAAAAAGTATCATATTATGTCCTTCCCAGGATCTCAAACTTTCTACATACCAAATTTCATCTAAATCGGTTCAGTAGATCCAGAGATTACCCCCTATAACGTCACAAACTCACAAACTTTACCTCTTTATAATATTAGTATATAAGATAGTTTATTTGTCAAAAAGATTTACATATTTCAGTTGAAACACATAAGTACCTATAATAGATACAATTTGGCACAAATAGTTTAAGTTGTTATCACTACAAAATAATATGAGCATCTCTGTTGTCGTACTAGAAGACCTGTATTACGGCATACCTTTATTAAATCAGGTTATAGACTACCCAATATCAACCAGGCTAATATTATATAAATGCCAAAATTTGTATGTTTGTTATTCCTTCACGTTGAAACGGCTGGACGGATTTGGATGAAATTTTGTATACAGGAGCAGTGTTGTAAAGACACATAGGTGTTAGCCACCTAGGGCTTACGTTAGATCTAAATAAATATGTTATATGTTGTTAGGAAATTAACGCACAGTATCATCTAGTTCCATGATAAGCTACGAGGCCTGTGTTATGGATACCAGATAGTAGATATACTACACATATACAACTTTAAATACAAACATATTATAAATATAAACACCCATGACTGGAGTACAAACATTTGTGCTTATCACACAAATGAATGCCCCCAGCGGGACTCGAACCCGCGACTGCTGGCACAGAAAGTAGGGCCACTACAATCTGAGCCAAACGTGTCGTCATACTACGCGATTGATGAGTTTTATTTAGACATGGACATTACAGAGTTATATTCAGGTTCATAATAATTGCTATGAAGGTTTATTTAGATATGCATAGTAATAATAATATGCGAGTGGGTTTTAGTGTCGTTGTACACAACATTATAATTTACTATCGACCAATAATATCCGGTTCGAGAGATTCCGATATTTCGACACTGTCACAAGCGCCATGGTCACGGCTATACTCTGAGAATTAAGTGATGAACATGGGAAATATCCCGTTTTTTATCACAATTATATTGTCAGTGACCATGAAAGTTAAAAGACTAATATGGCATATATAGGTAATTCTACTCAATTTTTGTTTATGTATTTTTTTTGTTAAGTATTTATTTTTTCGTTTCAGTTGTTCATTGTACTTCTGTTTTGTTTTCTGCTTCTTAATTTTTATTTGTGTTAGTTGTTAGTGAAAACTTGATTGATTTATGTGTCGTCTTATTATTATTTATATAATATTGTACTGTTTGTTTCCCTAACCTATACATATAATAAAATTCTAACTGAGTTGAATCTGTACATTAAATATTCTTTTTTCAAACTTATTGAATTAATAGTCATTATTATCGATGCAGAGGACGAATCTATAGTTATTAGAATTTTTACTGTCTGTCTGCCTATCTGGGAACGCATCACGAGACAAACACTGGACAGATTTTGATAAAATTTGGTATGATGATAGCAGGTTATCCGGGTCAACATATAGGATATTTTTTACTGCGGGGAAACCATCTCTAAGAAACCTATACTAAACGCCAAAAGGTTTTAAATACCTGCTAGGGACGAACCCGAACGGAGCAAGGGTGAGTCGCTAGTAAAAATAAAAGCTCGACACTTATAATGAACTCGAGTCATAATATTTGGAAAGAAATAAACAAAGTAAGAATTTCTCTATATTCTTCTACCTAGCAATCAATCTCAATCAGACATTAAAATTATAGGAAATACATACGTAGGAATGAAAAAATGCCTACCTTGATAAATTCTTCCGCAATAAAATTAAACAATCGCATTGATTAATTAACCAGTTTTCTATGGAAATTGTACAAGGGAAATTATTAATGATTTTGTAGCTAATTATTTACCAATGATATAACCCGATTAAATTTAAAAATGATATAATTGAGTTATTAGATTCTGTAATTTACAATAATCTTGTAATATTTATATGGTCGTTTATTCTAAGGAGAAGCATTTGCCTGCGGCTATGCATGCATAGTTTATGTATTTATTTATAACTAGCTACTCACCCTCGCTTCGCTCGGGTTCGTCCCTAGCTTGATTCACAATACAAACTTTCACCCCCATTTTCACCCCCTCAAGGTATGATTTCCGGGGTAAAAAGTATCCTATGTACTTCTCAGGGTCTCAAACTATCTTCTTACTAAATTTCATCTAAATCGGTTCAGTAGATCCAGAGATAACCCCCTACAACGTCACAAAGTCACAAACTTTACCTCTTTATAATATTAGTATAGATATCTCCTAAGTCGTACCGTGATATTAGATAGCCTATAAGCTTTTTTACTAAATATACATTTAAAACATATTTTTTTAAATATAACAGACATTTATAGATAAGTAAACGAATGACTAAGATTGAGTCTAGTACCCAAAGTATTGGAAATTCGACAGATTACAAACTTATTGTTAGAAGGTAGTAGGTAGATACTATTATTATACTAACACTATTATATAAGCATGTATTGTCATAAGCTGTATAGAGGTTTATATTTTGTAATTTTAAATTTTGTCTCAAGATCCTGTATGGAGATGACAAAAAATATTTTTTTGTTGTAGGTATTTATTTATTAATAGATAATAAAGTGAGAGAAAAAACACGTGTAATACGTGCGTATTTCATTAATAACAAGTTTTTGCTGAGTCTATTCTGTTCTTTGTATTGTAATTTAAAATAATTGCTTAACTGACACGTAACGTAGATTTACAATGGTAAGATTGTCAATAAAGCCATTTTAGAGTTCAATATTCATAAAAAAAAATTTAAAATGCCTGTAAATACCTATTGTAAAAAATTGGTTAAGTACGAGACGGATAGGTGTTTTATAATATATATTGCTTATATGGAAAAGACAATACATCTAAATACGAAATTTGATCCAAATCGTATAGTGTCGTTTCTGAGTTTAGTTGTACCTACACCCAAATCCGTCCAACCGTTTCAATTCAGTTTCAAGAAGTATCAAACATACAGATACACACACACACATATAACATACACATATACAGACACACATACACACATATACACACACATACAGACTTTTTAATAACCGTCCTATAGTGAAACCTCTACAGCGAATCTAGTCTCTTTTGGCCAGTATTATTATCACTCATAGCCAGAGTCATGTTAAGAGGTGGACAACCAGGGTACCAACCCCAGACGCCATATGAGCATGCACATAAAATAGAAATTTCTAAATTTCTACAAATACTAACTACTTTGTTACGTAAAATTAATGATTTTAACCAATTAAGTGGTTTCCTAAATGGTGTGAATTAAAAAAAATGAAAGCAAAAGGAACTTCTTTAATTTCCTTGATAGGTACATATGTAGGCCCGTCCCCACCTTCACTTCTTTATCTTCCCACACTTTTAAGTGTAGCTTTGCAAAAGGCATACTTATTACGATTTTACAATAAATGCAAAACAAAACCTTAAACGTTCGTGTATAGTGTATTAGGGATCCATTTTGTTTCAATAAGCTACGAGTGTTTATTACGATGGAGACTTAATACCTTATAACGACTATAATTATATTTGTTAATATGCTAAATACAGTCGATAGACGGTACGTAATATATTCTACTTAAAAATATAATTATACAGCAATGAGAATATTGCTGTCCATCACTGAACGTAGACCTTCCCCAATGACCGATAACTAGTCTTGGGCAGCCCGCATTCATCGTCTGTCCGCCATATTACTCAGGTCATCTGTCCGTCGCCATCCTACGCCACACTTGCCAAACGCTGTCTCCACTCTAGCACGTGTAGAATCCATTGACTATAACTACGTATGTATCTATTAGTATAAACACATATACTTATGCTTTTTTGTAGTGTACTTTTTATATATGGTCATATATTTAAGTCTATTATTTGCACCCCTTCCCTCAGACTTGCAGTTTGCTATTTCCTACACCTAAAGGTTGCCTGGAAGAGATCGTTGTTTTAGCGACAAGGCCGCCTCTTGAACATTTCTATTCTGTATTTATTTATTTTCTTTTGTTCTTGGTGTACAATGAAGAGTTTATTATTATTATTACGTCTGGGGACATGATTTCATTGACTTCCACTTCAGCATGCTAACTTTGATCAATTACTTTAGTTCTCTGGCGAGCGATTTCAATTCGAATTCTGTGTTCCAGAGAAATCCCAAGCATCGCGCGTTCCATTGCTCGCTGAGCGACTTTGAACTTGTGGACTTGTAAGACACATAAACTACTATTATAAATACGAAAGTGTGTATGTTTGTTACTCGTTGACGCTGTAACGACAGGAGCTAAGGACGTAGCCGATCGAAGCGAGGGCAACTCGCTAACTGCAATCAAACAAAACAATTTGCTATAAGTAATTCTAAAATTTTAGTATTTAATAAATTATTATTAATGAGTCACGCTTACGACTAACTCATGGTTACAAAAAATCCTGGTTCATAATAAATGGTTAAAATTTACGCATTAATTATATCAAAAGATTAAAGAGAAATCGTTTTTATAATTAATCCAAAATGTTGAAAATCGTATAATACTTTAATTGTCTGTGGGCAAATGTTTTAATCTGTGTAAAGCTCTTAACAACGAAAATAAATTATGTATGTAATATAATCCGTATTAATATTATAAGTTATAATTAATAACAAGAATAATTGTGTCAGGTTGCAAAACTCGGTGATTTTATACCTTGAACTTTGAATAACAATTGATTTAATGTAATAAGAAAACGTGTGTGTGTACTTATGCATGCACGTAACAAGTTATACTTCTTTGGCGTAACAGAACAAAAATAGCTAAAGGTTTCATACCATATGTCACAACTATCTGTTTGTAAAAGGAATGCAGCTAACTTCATCATGTCGCTTTCAAGTTTCAGCTAACTAAATGAAGTTGCTTTTTGGCTATCGGCGAGCGCTTGTCATAAAAATTATAATCTCATATTTTTTCCAAACGTCCCAAAAGAAGCATAACTTTAAAAATTAGGTATGACAAAAATGCATTTTAACTTTATGTAATTATTACAAGATATACATACAATAATAATGTAATCAAGTCAAAACTTACTTAACAAAATGTTATAATAAAGAGAATAATTTAAAAATAAACTTCATTACAACATCGACATTTGCTAAAACTCACGATTCACTGCTTTTAATGCAACCTGCATTTCTTAGTGACGAAACTGTAGTACATTCTAGCCTCGAAATCTTGGAAAATCCGCGAAATAAAGTAAATTAAAGACATCTTATATGAAATTAACAATATGACTAAAATTAGATTTTATTTCAAAGGTAATAAAGACTACCTTAAAGATGAAGACTCTACTACAAAATGAACATTTTTTTTTAAACAGTTTGAATTTAACCTTATGTTGTATGATATAGAGCTTATTTTATTAAAAAAAAATGCTGTCTATTTGTATGTCATACTAAATTGAATTTTATTTCATTTGCGATAAAGTTTATTTTTTTTTTATTTCAAAATAAAGGTAGTATTTCTTAGCAGAAGCGTAAGCGCAAGACCGAAGACAAGTTCAGTGTTACACGAGCGTGCGTCGAGCGCACGTTGGCCATATTTAATACGTTCGAATTTCAAAATTCGCGCCATTATTGTGTTGTGAAAAAGTTTTTGATGGATTTGTAGTTTTTGTCGAATTTCAATTTTACTGTAAGTATTCTTATGTAAATATTTCTTTACTATAATTATTATTTGTAGAATATTAATAAAGGATATTACAAATTAGTGTTTTAATTATTGAGAAATAATAGCGTGTTGAGGTCGGAAAGACCTTCGAGCTAAGATCTGTTGATGAAGACTTAAATAATAAAATAGTACATTGGTAGGATTTTATTATATACTAGCATTGCTCGCGGCTCCGCCCGCGTTCAGATGACCAAAAACCAAATTCTTAGGCTTTACATATTAGTTATACTCTTACAATGAAGTTTTTGTATTTTTTCTCAGAAATGAGATATTTTCCCGCGGTACAAAGTATCCTATATGTTGACCCGGATGACCAGCTATCATCATACCAAATTTCATCAAAATCTGTCCAGTGGTTTTCTCGTGATGCGGTAACAGACAGACAGACAGACAGACAGATAAAAATTCTAAAAACTATAGATTCGGACTCTGTATCGATAATAATGTCTATTTCAATAAGATTTTCCAAAAAATATTTAATGTACAGATTCGACTTTGTTACAATTTTATTATATATGTATAGATAAAATAAAATAATTCCTCATATATTATGTATATTTCAAGATGAAAATGTTATAAAATGCAAAATTACAACCAATGTTATTAAATTTTTAATCTTATTCGAAATGGTTATTTTTTCGAGCACAAATACAACTTGTAATATTAATTATTAACTATTCATTAAATGTTTCGCAATAGGGATAATAGTAATTTTACGTACATAATATTTCTCATTAATAGCAAAAATTTCTTAAGTCTATTGAAATTCAAAATTAACATTTTCTGTTTATTTTAATGTGGCCTTGAAAAAATCTTGTTATTTCTTCGGTTTTGTTAAAACACTAGTTTATGCACGTGGTTTTACTGATTACTCGCGTCGTAACTAGAGCGTAAAGTAAAATATGTAGGTACATAAACCTTATACCGTATACGAATATATTTATTCTGCAATTAAGTATATATTAAAATTTTATTTATAAATTACACAGTATAATATGATGAAAAAGAACTAAATTAAAATTTATATTTTTCATTTGTTTATATCATATTCGTATTTAAAAAAATATTTGCATTTAATACCTACACATTTTAACTTTATCAAGTTAGTTTTGGCACGGTAATGTTACGTGGTTTTGGTTCCCAACAAAGTGCTCATTCGAACTGCTAAAATGTTTAATTCATTTACGTCTATGATAAAATAAAATGCAATAAGTATATTTTCTTATATTATTTTAAATACCTTGTATACTTACTACTTAGTAAGGTTATTTACTTGTATGTACGAGTATGTACAAGATCATATATGAAACCACTGTCTTGTTGTTCGGAAACAATATTAGTATATATAAATATATATATATATATATATATATATATATATATATATATATATATATATATATACCGCATCATAGAAAAACCACTGGAAGGAATATATATATATATATATATATATATATATATATATATATATATATATATATATAATCCTTCCAGTGGTTTTTCTATGATGCGGTAACAGACTGACAAAAATTCTAAAAACTATAGATTCTGCCTCTGTATCGATAATAATGACTATTTCAATAACATTTACCAAAAAATATACATTCGACTCAGTTAGAATTTTATTATATGCATGTATAGATATGAGTTTTAGAAAACCAATTAACCACACGTCCTTTAATGGAAAACAAAGGAAACATGATTCATAATACCTTATTCAAGTAAGTATCTACAGAAATTATTACCTTGATTGATACTTACTTTCTTATATCTATCCAAATATCTGACATATTAAGTAAAACTGCATTTTCGGTTTTTTTCGCGGATTTATATTCATTTTTTGTTCCTGACATTTCGAATTTTCTTCCGTAGCCATGTTTGCTGTAGAGCATTCGAAACGTCGGGAATCTAAAATTAAAAAGGATCCGCGAAAAATTTCCAAAACAGTTTTATTTAAAACCTTGAACGATAGTTTATCTTTATAATTCTTAATAGTAGGAACAGAATCGTTACTCAAATGTATAAAATTATTTTGCCCTTTTACCTTCCCTTTTGGGCAAGAGCCTCACCTCAATGTGAGGGCTATGCCGTAGTCCACCGCGCTGGTAATTTGAGGTTTGGTGGGCTTTTTCTTTACTTCTTAAGTCAGAATTTTCGGACATGCATGCTTCCTTTCTCAGGATGCTTTCCTTCACCGTATTAAGCAATTATTTTCAACATAACATGTCTTAAAAATTTTAACCAACAGGGACCTGGGAACTATATAAAGCTCGTCCTTACCAAATTATTCATACAATAGGCTACAATTTCTGTTATCTCTTTATTTAATAATCGCGCTCCTACCTACTTTAGTAGGTACTACATATTTCCATTTTCCACCTAAAGGTTGCTTGGAAGAAATCGCTTTTTTAGCAATACGGCCGCTTCTTGTACACTATCCTACTGTTTTGTATATTTTCTTTTTGCGTGTGCAATAAATAATAATAAAAATAAATATGTTGGGACATTAACACACAGCACCATCTGGTTCCATGGTAAGCTATGAGGCTTGTGTTATGGATACCAGATAATTGATACATTACACATAAAATAACTTTAAATATATACCTACATATTATAAATATAAACTGCCATGACTGGAGCACAAACATTTGTGCTCATCACACAAATGAATGTTCCCAGCGGGACTTGAACCCGCGACCGCTGATATAGCAAGTAGGGTAACTACAAACTGATCCAAACTTATCGTAAAATAATAAAATGGTTTTATAATTATTATAGTTATTACTCTAATTAGAAATTAAAAATACTAGTGAATCTAATTCTTTAATAATTACTTACAAATTACAATTATACTAAAGATACTAGCGGACCCGACAGACGTTGTCCTGTCTACACGTCTTTAATTTGAAAATTTCAAACCTTTTTTAATAATTTTTTTGATGAAAATTATTATTCAAAATGTGAATCTAAACCATTCCCAGATCCCCTTGAACACACACAAAAAATTTCATCAAAATTGGTCCAGTCGTTTAGGAGGAGTTCAGTCACATACACACGCACACAAGAAATATATATACTAAAGATATTTATCATATACTTTATCCTCTTCAAACCCAAAACCTTTCGAATGCCAAAAATCATCACAAGAAACAGCCTTTACCTATAATAATATTCCATGACTAAATGATTTGATCAAATAATCATTAAAAATTCTTTTGAAATTAATTGATAAATCGTTTACTTAATTGCCTCATTCTGTAAGTGTGCTAGAAATAATACTGACAAAAATTATTTCTAATTAAATATAACTGGTATATTACTTTATTAGATAAAAAATAATATGGATAAATTATATGTTCGTCTGCAAAAAGAATATCATATGTATATTTATTATTTGTTCGATGTAGAGTAAATCTGTTAAATTAAAACATTTACACTACTAGCGACGTACCCTGGCTTCACTCGGATGTGTACTTTTTAGGTACATTTTAATTATTTAATTTTTTTGAGCGGGGCCCTCATTCTTTTTCTAAAATAAAAGTAGCCTAGTTTCGGAGATTAGCCGGAACAAACTACAAACAGACAAAAAAAAATTAAATTGTGTTTTTCTTTTAAGTACCTTATATAGTTTTATGTGCATTTAGTAATAAGCTGTTATTTTGAGATTACAAACAGACACTTCAATTTTATATATCTGAGTATGTTTATATGTACCTACTACACTTTCAAATTTAGATTTAGTTTACATCGAAGACGCGCACTCACGATCTACTTTGCTGACGAGTTGCGATAAATGAGCGATTCGATTTGGCTAAAATGGACGCACAAGGAATAAAATGCGACTCGAGTCGACTCGTCTCGCTGTTACGTTTCGCTGTTAAAATAGTGCGTTTTCCCTAAGTAGCAATAATTTTATTGACATACTAGCATGCTCGCGGCTCCGCCCGCGTTCATATGCCCAAACCAAATAAAATGCGCTATTATATTTTTTTCAAGATAAGCTATTTTTAATAGTTTTTACCTTATTTAGTAAGTTACCTTGCTAAAATATATATAGTATAATCGTGGTTTTACTCTAATCAGCTTTTGTATTTTTTTCTCAGAAATGAGATATTTTCCTGCGGTAAAAAGTATCCTATATGTTGACCCGGATAACCAGCTATGACCATACAAAATTTTATCAAAATCCCTCCAGTAGTTTTTCTGTGATGCGGTAATAAACAGACAGCAGACAGACAAAAAATCTAAAAATTATAGATTCGGCCTCTGTATCGATAATAATGTCTATTTTTAATAAGATTTTCCAAAAAAATATTTAATGTATAATAGATTCGACTTAGAATTTTATTATATGCATAGACTACAAAGAGAATCTGGAGACAAAATCTTTACGCTCGAAGAACATTTCAAGCTGTCAAACCACATTGAAAGATAAAACCGATCAAGTATTTTTCCATATAGTTGTGACGCGCACGGAAATATTTTTTAATATGATTATAATTCTTTTGACCCTTACATACCTACTATTATAAATGTCTTTATTAATAAATACGAAAGTGTTGATTTGGCTTTATCCTTATTTTACATAGTTGCTTAAAGCGATCCTTGGGATCATAGCGTCAGGACTAATAGTGTAAAAAGTTTTTTTTTAAGGCTGAATTGTATTTAGAAATTATAATTATTACAAACGAAAGAACCAGAAAAAAAATCAAAAATTTTATTTAGAATATTCGTGATATATACACATTAAATAAAATGAAGACGGTTGTGAATATAGTAATGAAATAATATAAAAAATAAGTTAATATTTTTTATTATGGAAAACAATTACCAAAAAGTAAAATTTTCGTAAAAAAGTAAGTGGACTGGTTATGATAATAAAAAAAGTAATTTTGTAGATTTAAACACCTCCAGGTAAATTTCTAAGAAATTAATTAAAATTCTAAGAAATCTATTGT